CCACCATAGACTTTGCATGTAAACCTGATGCTCCTGATGCTGAAATCGCGTTTGGTGTGAACGCACCATAAGAATCACTCTTACTCTCAAGGAAAGTTCCTCCAACTTATAAAACCAGACCTCTAGTGGTCTTCAAACCACCTCGGTTGATCACTGAAACTTGTCTTCAACACACGAAAGCTGCTAAATGATTTTCACCTGACATCGTTTCTGGTTTAGAATCAGAAGGAAACATTTGCCTTATTCCTGCCCTGGTTGTGGAAACACTTAAATAACCTGCAATTAAATGATCAGTGTGTAATTAATAAATAAATAAATAAATAAATATTTCAACTGCTGTAACAAAAGACACCAAGCTTATTAAAGTAACTGCCTTGTTTGACAGATTTTATTAGTCTTTTTCTTCATTATCACTAATGTGAAAGGTATTATCTGTGTGAGTATTATTTAATGTGGGTCAGTTAACGCAGTAGATCGTGGGGTCCAGGTTCTTGTTTTCAGGGTTGTAATCCTTCTGGGCGAAGCAGTTAGCCGCCACTCGATCACACTCGCACACGGCAGYCTGGCACTTATCGTTGGTATCTGCAGAGACACGTCAGGTTAGAAGCTGTAGGAAAAGATCAAACTGGCCGCAGAACGTGTAACATTGATAGTACGGTGTTGGTACATACGAAGAAAAATGTTTGTATTTGAATTTATGGGTTTTATGGATCCAGACAATTAAAATGACTGATTTATCAGGCACACAAGTTATTTAAAGCTTAACAAGTGTACAAAAACACACAACACAGAAAACAAACCAATTTTTTATTATTAGTATTGAAATTATTTGACTTTTTTCTGAGTTTATCTCTCATAGTTGAGGAGAAATTTTCACCCACTCTACTTTTCAGCTCATCTAGGTTTGCAGAAACTCGTTTCTGCATCGTCTAAGGGTTTGCATTCCCACGCCTCAGCTCTTTTCTTTTTCAGATGTTCTGTGTTAGGTCCGCTGCTGTGTGTGGAATCCATTTACAGTTGCAATATGACCCACAATCTTTCACATTTGACTTTAGAATATTTTTGGTCTACATTTGGTTTTGGTGTTCATGGTCACCTCARTGACTACAGACGCCCAGGTCCTGTGGCTACAAAACAAGCCCTCCACCCCACTGACAGTTGGTTTGAGGTATTTGTRCTGATGGTCCAAAGTCATCCATAATGTTAGGTGAAAACCAAACTCCTTCCAAACAAGCCATGCTTTTTCAGTCTCTGTCCTGTCATGAACTTTAACCTTTAAACTGCCAACTGAGGTYTGCATAGTCTGAGATGAAGATCATGATGTTGTTTTTTTTACATTCATTTTCTGAATATTGCACAGCCTGACCTTCGGGTTAATTTTCCTAGACCTGCACTCTTGAGAACCTGTTTAAAATGTGTTCCACTTGTGAGTATTTTACTTCATTGTAGAATGATGGACTTCACAGTTTAGAAATGACCTTTAACATGTTCCAGATTGAGAGAAAGAAACATCTACTTAGATCGTTGCTGATGTCGTGACGCCTGTGTGCTTCAGAGCAGCAAACTGACAAAACTCACATGGATGATGATGATGATCAGTTCATCAATACATTTGATCAGCAGCACCTGACTGATACTAAAACCCCTAAATACCATGGAAGCAGCAAAGTGAACTCACAGTTTTCTGTTAGGCTTTGTTCATATGTTGTAAATAATGGAGGGTTTGGTCTGCTGGGTCTTTACCATGTCCTAAAGCATAACAAGCTAGAATTTGGGAAAAAAGTAGACTTGCTTTTTTCCATGACTTAAATGCTGACGTCATAGCTGCAGTTTTTGCACACGAGGTCAAAAGTAGACCTGTGTCCAACTTGTATTGTTTACAGTAAACATCATGTTGTCAGGTTTGTACTTAAAACCAGGAAGACTCTTGTTTTGTATCCCCCAAGGGCAGCAGATTGCTGAAACAATCTTTCACTGGATCATACAAGCACCAAATTTGGTACACGTGATTCAGGACCTACTCTCTCATAAAAGTATGTTGTCCATGAGAAGAAACAAAGCAGCCACCAGTGGAAGTGGCTTGATGAAGCCTATTTTGAAGTCCAAACTTCAAGATAAATGTTTTTGTCTATGAGTCTATTGTCTGCCCAGCTCCATGTGACGTCAGGACGTCCCAAGTGGTTACACAATGGAGGTTGACAATCTTTGGATTTTCTTTTTTTAAATATATATATATAC